GAAGAAAAGAGACACGAGCTCAATGAACCCTTTGAACCGCATTGACAGGAGAGCATGAAGGCAAATTTCCTGTGGGAGCCCACAGGGGTGTGGAGTGGGGGTTGGGTGGGGTCAGCCCGGGTGATGCAGGGTGAGGGTCCGCTCGGTGAAGGTGGTCAGGAGTCTGTTCCTCAGGTGCCCCTCCAAACAGCAGCACAGTCAGCGAATCCACTTGGGTTCAAATGCTTTAATCCAGGATTAATTCGAATTAAGTTTTAAATTCTGGTCAAATAATAATCACAAATAATCTAGTTGGATCAGATTAAATGTTGCGTTTGCATTTTGGGAATATGTAGAATATTAAAAACAACTAATTCCCTTTTCAAGAGTGGCTACTTGTTAGCATTTTGTATCTCTTCAAAGCTATTGATCAAATATTGAAATACACGACAATTCACTTTAAATTCACGATTATGATTATTTTGTTTTCCAACAAAATGAATTGTAGCCATTATATATCCAAATATATTTGTTTTTTTTTTCTTTTAACATCAGCATTTCTGTCCTTGTATCAAACTGTTGTCTTGGTAAGAAAATATAACTTTCAAAATAAATAAAAAATCCATTTTTGATCAAAAGTTCTCAAACTGAATTAGTCTTAAAGACACAACTTACTGTTAGACAATTAAAATCAAATTGATTCATTCATTTTTATGAATTGATTCACATCTTATAATCAGTTCTCGATTAAATGTTACATCTTTGACCCGTCGCATCAAACTGAGGATTAAACGGTCAAAAGACCTCAGATCGTTTTCAGCTTTCTGCTTTTTGAGCAACGATCGTCCTGACATCATGAGAAATGCTTTGATTTGTCTTCCTGATCACGGTAAAACATTAATATTTGGTCTGAGTTAATGAGAAACGGTTGATGTCATTTTAAAGAGGAAATCTCAAACMGTRTTTGGATCTTAAACTTTATCAGTTGGAAAGAAAAAATAACGGTTTGCACACAGGGAAGATATAAAAACAGGCGTTTTTGCACAAAATCTTTATTTTTTTTTTGTTGCTGCTCAAAAACTGCTTCAAAAACTTCAGTAAGATTAAATCTCAGACAAATCATTCAAATGATCTGTTGAAAATGTTATTTATTATCTCTTGATAAAACGCAGTTATTAAAAATGTTTTAATCAATGCATTTTTCTCTCTTTTGGACTTAATCCTCAGTTTGATTTGATGGGTCATATATTTCATTAAGTCTAAAAAGGCTGTAGCTGAAAGGTCTTAAAAGAGCTGAAAATTTTGATTTGATGGGTCATATATTTAGTAGAAAACCTTTATTTCATCTTCACATCTTTGAAAAATGTTTCCACATCTCAACTTAAAAAACAAACACATTAGTTATTAACTTTGATAAAAGAATTGCAGGTTTTTATGGCTTAAATAAACACAAAGGCCAACGTGAGTGAAAAACCTGTTTTGATCGACTCAAATAAATGAACAGAAAACAACTGATATAATGGTTAAAAAGATAAAACACTTTTTATAAGATTCATGTTATCAAATATAAACATCTAGAAGAAGTTTACGCAAAAAGTAATTTTAGAAAATTGGGGTGAAAACATCAAATGAAAGTTTGAAAACCGGCCTGAGTCGTTCAGATGAACACAAACAGTAAAAAGACACAAAACGAATAATAACAATAATAAAAAAGGAATATTATATTTTCAGCTCGGTGCAACAAATTACATTAAACAAACGTGATCCTGAGCTTTATAAGTTTTAGACAATCTAAAGATAAAATGAACCATTTTCATAAAACTACGTCAAACTTATTGATCATCTAAGATAAAATATGTTTAGGTTTGTTCATTTTTCTAAACAAAACAAAAGTGAAAAGCTTGTTTAAAGTAATTTTACAAAAAAAAACATATTTTATGCAAAAACATAAAACAGAATTTGACTTTTATGTCTAGTGTGACACAAAAAAGTAACATTTTAATCCTAATCACAGTAAAAACTAAGAAACGCTTTGAGTTTGACACTTCATGAAATTCTACGCTTAGTTTTTTAGATTTGATAAACCTCTAAAAACATATTAAAGAAAGTTGGAAAAACAACATAAAGTTCAAAATTTAAACTTTTAAAGCGAAAAAAAAAAATCACAAGTTTGGGTGCGTTTCTCTCTAAATAAAGAAAAGATGGAGAGAATCAAACGGGTTAGGATTATAATAAAAGCATAAACTGTGCTAAAACTCAAGTTAGAGCTGCTTTCAAGACGAAAAAAGGAGAAATTTTGATTTATTTTTGTGCTGTAGGGTTTCGTCCCTAAAAGCCCAAGTCTTCCTGCTGGTTGTTGGTTTCCACTGACTTGTCCCGATCAGACGGCTCCGTCAGGACGTCAGGGAGTGGATTCCATGTGACACTGGCATCCCATCCTGTGAGCCAAAACATACTGCAGAGGCCTCCGCTGTCAGCATCTTCAACAACAGGCCTGAGCTGCGGGGGCGGGGCGGGGC